TTTAAATTATAGAGCGTGATTTTACCTATAATATTCAATGTTACATAAGTTCTTACATAAGTTAGCATTGACATTGTACTTCTAGTCAATCTTGAAAATATCGATCCCCTCATTATTAATGTATACAATTAGTTACTGTGCTTTTAAATAATTCGGAATTTTAATTAACAACTGTCGAGTCTTTTAGTCCTTGAACGCAGAAATATATTTAAATTTATTATTTCAGAACTTTATATAGCAACCAAGATAAAACTAGGAAAATTATTTTCAGAGTCTGATAACTCTAATATGAATATTTTTTTACGATTACACGTAATTACACGTGTGGTTTTAATACAAATATTGAATCGCGTGACGAATGAAAATAATACACAAAATACATAGTCATATAATGAATTTCGTAAAATAGCGTCGCATACGATAGAAAATAGTACGAAATATAAGTTACATATTAGAATATTGTACACATGCGTATAGCATAATTTACATCATTATCAAAGCTATTTTGGCAACATATGTTCCACGCTAGATTTTCGGTTAAAAATAAGAGGTCTTCAAATGTTAAATGTTAGTAAATCTTTCAAATCGTTAGTAAATTGAATTTGTTCTACTTGTCAATATCGGTGTTTTAATTAAGTAAACAAATAAATACTAATAAATGCTTACGCAGTTTATTGATCATTAGTTCAAAAGTATAAGCCTCATATCATAATTATAATTATTAATTTTTATATACATGTAGGGGTGCTAGAAACTTGTTGTAACAGTTTTTTTTAAATTAATATATCTCCAGAATCACCAATTATATTTCTACTAAATAAAATGAACGATTTCTGTAAACTATTCCTTTACCGAATCAAGTAAAATTATTCCACAACTATTGTGCAATATTTCACAATCATTTTGTTCACAATCATTCAAGTACGTTGTTACAACTTCCCTCGTGCCTAGAGATAGTTTTAACACCTATCAAGTTAAGTAGTAACAACAAAAAATGACAGTAACACCTAAGATAATTTATTCTTTACTAATTTTTAAGAAAATTAATCCCAGGTGTGATTTTTTTTAAATTCATATTAAAAATAACGAACCTGCACAGTTCTGTTTATTACGTCGGCCTGCGGAACAGTAGCTATGACAATATTATGTAGGACGATTTACATGTCCAATCGAGCCAAAAAATATTTTAATATCGATTAAGATCCGATTGAAAAACGCCTGTTGCTAGTAATCCCTATTACAGGTAACTCCTAGTTCCCCTATTATGAATAGTATGCTATGCTTTCTTTCGGATGTATAATCAGTAGTATCTCTTATTAGTAGGTATTTGTATTTTATAGTGCGATAAATATGCTAACTAACATGCTCGTTTTTTTAATGCCGCAAATTAAAGCAGATTAATTTCGTTTAGAAAAAAAAGAACAAAAAACAATATTTTTTTATGAAACTAAAATAAAAACTCAATTTTTCAATTTATTCCAAAATCAAAATTATTAATTTATATTTCTTGGTATATTTTTATTCATATTGATCATGTAATTTTTTCAGGAAAATTCTACAGGCCAACAGAAACCCCATCGCTACGATTTTGAATTTAACGTAACCAGAACGAAACCATTACTGTTTTCAAAAAAATATTTAACATCGTTCAGAACAAGTACCAAGTTACCGAATCATCGTCGTACAAGAGAAGTGTTGTCTGGACACCTGGGTCTAATTATCATTTTGTATGTCAAGAATAAACTAAACTAAAAAAAAAAATAAAACATGGAGAAGTACGACACGCTTGCGGTGGTCGGCGAGGGATCTTATGGGCTCGTTATGAAGTGCAGACACAGGGAGAGCGGAACAATAGTTGCCATCAAGAAGTTTTTGGAGACCGAAGAAGATGCGACCGTTCGAAAGATGGCCCTCAGGGAAATTCGCATGTTGAAGGTAACATATTTAATCATACATAACACTGCCCGACTGAAATGGCACTTTTGTATTTTTTCTCAAACTTTCATTTTGAACAAACTTTGAATTGAACGCTGATTTCAAATATACGTTACTTTTATCCGCTACATCTCCAGTTTTTCAGTGTTAGAGAACTATCCCCTATAATTATCGCATTATTAATTAACAAATAACTAAAAGTTTTATCTACTGTTTTCGGTATGGCTTCGACTCTAAGATGTTGTGTGCCTAATCCAGATAGTTTTTGTTACATCTGTGGTTAATATGTTTTCGACAAATACTGGAAACCTATATGGAACAGCGTAAGGGGATATTATATTAGAACCATTTCAAAATTGAATTACGCAATCGAGATAACACATGGGTTCTTCGTACTATGTAAAAAAGATGTGTATTATGTTCAAATTATTATCCAAAAGGAAAAAGAAATGGCATAATTTTAATACCCTCGTCATTTAGAAAAAAAAACTTCAGAATTGCCACGACGACTGTTTCTTCTTTGTGTTAAATGTCAATAGAATAAATTCTGGCATTAGAAGCATATAGTCCCGAATCGTGACCCCAAAGGTACTGAGGTCCTCTAACAATCAGATACACGATCCTTATCCAGGCTATTGATGAGCAACCTAGAACAACACCATCTTCTGCCTACCATGTAATGGATTTAGAGATCAACGTTAAAACAGAACGCAGGAAGAGTTAAAAACTGTTATGTTTGATGTTTGAATTCAGATCGATTTTTGGTAAATCTTATAGATGTTAGCGAAAAGCAAGGCGAGAGAATCTAAGACATCAGGACTTTGAAGGAGCGATATCAAGATGGGACTTTCACATGATACCTGAAAATTGTTGGAACATACGACAAAGTCAGACCTTGTCTGACACATCTTTTTTACATAGTACGAAGAACCCATGTGTTATCTTGATTGCGCAATTCAATTTTGAAATGGTCAGACCTTGGTCAAAAATCATACAACAAGAGACTTTTGAAGGCATAAAAAAATATGAGTTATTTTTTATTGTATTCAGAGGTAAAACTAGCACATTATCTCGAAAACTAGAGCTGTTAGGAAAATTCTATTATCTTTTTTAGAATCAGCGTTCCCAAATTACTTAGAAATTATCATAACATCTCAGGGAAAAAACTGAAACGTAGTGTAATATATGTTTTTGGAGGTAGTTATAAATGTCCCATCATCGATGAATTTTATACAAAACAAATGTTTGTCATGACTGTAATATTTAATTCTGTCTTATAATAGACATTTGCTGATTATTATACTCGTACAATGTCTATGCAACAAATCCTTTTAATAATTAGAATTAATGATTATCTTTAAAATTAGTAATAAATGTAAATTATTTTCAATGAATAATTAAATAAATATTGAATAATAATTATTTTTATCATATATTGTCGAATTAAAATGTTACTATTGAAAAATAAAAATGATATATTATAATATTGTACCTTCTACATTTTCAGAAACTGCGCCATGAAAATCTAGTCAACATGATAGAAGTATTCCGCAGAAAGCGCAGATTTTATTTAGTATTTGAATATCTAGAACACACTGTTCTGGACGAGTTGGAGAGCCGAGGTGGTGGAGGTCTCGGTGACGATTTATCTAGAAAATACATTTATCAAGTTATACGGGCTGTGGATTTTTGCCATTCTAATAATGTAAGTAACTAGACATTCATTAACCCTAACTGTACATGGATAACGTGTTGTTAATTTACATTACCGTACTTTTAAAATAGTTTTTTTATTGTACCCTGTAGGTCTTAATAAGTAAGTTTGCGATAATACTTTGACTTATAGGTGTGCACGATAGCTTGCACATTAAAGAACCAAAAAAAAAAAATCATGTAATAGTTAGGTTTATTCTATGCTTAGATTTTATAATATATATATTTATATATACACGATTTTATTCCATTTAGCACGATTTGAAATTTTATGTACTTAAATTTTTTTTGTCAAATTTAATTTTTGCGAAGTATGTTCATATCACAAAAAGTATTTATGAAAGAAAAAAGTCTGAACCATCGATAGTATCGATAGTTTGCGAATACTAGCTTAAAGATTTAAGTGAATTCCCCTTTAGCGCGTACAAACAATTTTTACTGGTCAAAGCAAATGTGAATAGCACTAATTTAGAAAACCTTAAAAATTGAATAACCTATTCTTTTCGTTCACAACATAGTTTTTTAGTTCCTGAACTTGCCATACATTTAATTTATATTACTTTTAAGATTAGAGTGCATAACTTTTTTATCATTAATTACTATGCTTGTGAAAATAAGCATTATATATTTGATTTAATAAAATAAACATGAATTCTTGTTCTTAAAAATTCTTGTTTTTCACTAATTTTAATAGGTTTTAGAGATTAGGAACAAATCACCCATTTTTGTATAAGATCAATGTCTTTTTTTACACGTTTTTTTTTACACGGCTTCTTCTGGAACCAATCTACCGTGTAAAAACAGACTTAGGTGTATATATCGAATCTATTTTTATATTTGACATTTTATTAACAATCACTGTAACTTTATTTTTTATCGAAATATGTATTTTCGCGTCTTTTAAAAATGTACTATCGGTACGATTAAGACACTTACTCCCCTTAATCATACTATCTTATATAGTCCTATTGCTTTTAGTCTTACCTACTACAAAAAAAAACTATATTGAATTTATTCTGGCATTGACTTTTCTTTAGTTATTAGTTAACGAGTCGAACATAATTATTCAAATCCTAAAATATAACAATAATTGTCATAAGTAATAAATACACTTACAAAAATATTAAGTTTCTGGATGCTAAGAATAACTGTTCAAGAAAATAAAACCTTTATTAATCACACTCAATTGGCTTTTTATTTTTTTTATTCTCATTTGAAGAGAAAAACCGTATTTTTAACCATTAAAAAAAAACAAAAAAAAAACATAAAACATGCTTTTTATTTATCCTGTACAAGTAAGGAATTTTGCACAGATACGACTAAAGCTGCAAGGTGTTCGAAGTTCGAAATTGGATCTGCGGATATAATCTGAACAAGTCCACAATATTAGTGGACAACTCACTTACTTTTATTTACTTTTTGATTATTTCTCTTTCACAAAATCGTCCAGCCTTCCAAATCTGAACGTTTAATTAGTCAACTAAATAATTCTATGCAGTAGTGCTAAATTATGTAATTTATAGCTATCCGACAAAATATAGCCCGAGTACGACTTGAGCTATAAATAAATAAATATATAAATAATATATATATATATATATATATATATACGAGGTCTGTTCAAAAAGTACCCGGAATTTTCGTTTTTTCAAAAAAATATTTATTTATTCGTCTACATTAATGTGGTCCCCTTCAAAGTAGTCCCCCCCAGATATAATACACTTATGCCAGCGTTTTTTCCAATTTTCGAAGCACCCTTGATATTCACTTTTTGATATGTCCTTGAGCACTCTCAGCGATTTTCTTCAATCGAGGAAAACCGCCGTCCTTTCATGGGTCTCTTCAACTTTGGGAATAGGAAAAAGTCACACGGAGCCATATCTGGTGAATTTTTGCACTTTGCAACACTTTATTTCATTTTTTACGCAAAATTTAATACAAATTCTTTGACTTTTCAATTCTTCCATTGTAAAAATCGCCGAGTTCAGAAAAACACGTCGAACCTTAGCGACTACCACAGACAAAGTAAACAGTGAATATAGCTGAAAATTTCATCATACTTTAGGGGCATGTATACCAACACAATAAAAAAAAATTTTTGACAATCAGACACTCCAGACCCGCGAAATTTAATTATTAGTAATTCCGGGTACTTTTTGAACAGACCTCGTATATATATAAAGTAAGTACATGCTGTATTAGACTATCTAATAACTAATATTTAATCCCTTTTTTTTACCTAGGTGATACACCGAGATGTTAAACCTGAAAACGTCCTTGTTTCACGATTAGGTGTCGTAAAGCTCTGCGACTTCGGATTTGCTCGTCCTCTCGCTCAGCCGGCCGAAACATACACGGACTATGTGGCTACACGTTGGTACCGAGCACCAGAACTGCTGGTAGGTGACACTAGATACGGAGGACCCGTCGATATTTGGGCAGTAGGTTGCCTTTTTGCAGAAATGATGTCGGGCGATCCACTATTTCCAGGCGATTCGGATGTCGACCAACTGTTCCAAATAGTTCGCATGCTTGGTAAGTTCTAAAATAAAATACAGGAATATTAAATTCATGACAATAGAGATATATCTATTCAATAACTCAATATTGATAAAAAAACACTATGTTTATTGACCGGCATAGTTAAATAAATGAAATATGCTGTACTTGCCTCTAACAAATTAAATAAATTATACAAAACTTTTAAACTTATTTTTGAAATATATTTTTTCAACTATATTAATTGGTTCATTGTAATCATTATTTGGTAACATATGTGTTAACTTATTTTAAAAAAAGCTAATTACTGATATTGCTAATTATATTTGAAGGAAAATTATCTACGCGTCATCAACATTTTGTAGCTCGAAATCCCTTATTCAAGGGATTTAGAAAAACTCAATCTCAGCAGATGACTGAAGAAGGTAATGGAATTCCGCTGTATCAGTTATTTCCTACCTGGCACCGATCTGCTCTTGATTTGTTGCAGCAGTGTCTCAGGTTAGATCCGCTACAAAGACCAAAGGTAATAAAACTTAATATTTTAACTATTAATACATTTTATTAAACAAAAAACTACTATTAGGCACCAGCATTACTTCGCCACGAAGCCTTCATGCATGATGGTTTTGCCGATAAATATCTACCAGAGCTTCGACAGAAAGTTTGTACGGAATTTCAGAGTAATCCATTACTTCGAAAGCACCAAAGCGCAGCCATTCTTGCAGCCTGTAGACAAGCAGAGGTACCTGTGCAATTGCAAGTTCAACAGCTACACCAGGTAGAATCAGAAGTGCAAGAAGCTGCTGATTTTGAGGATCAACCACAGCACAAGTATGTTTAATCCACTGGCTATCTATTTCGGTTTATAACAAAAAGTTGCCTTACCGGCGAAATCGTTAGCAAAATTAGGGTTAACTATCAAAGCAATAAAATATGTTTCAGTTTATTTTATCTGATTTCTTTTAATTTCTGTTTTATGGCACTTTTTTATAAACGCGTCGGTAGAAAAATAAACGTATCTGTAAACGATCTTTCCGAAATTCAGATGGCGCATCAATTTGTTGGGATGCGATTCAGTGCACAGCAAGAGAATCGAATCAATGGATTCATTATCTACGGCACAAAACAGTAGCAACCATTTATCAAGCACCCATGTGCTCTACAATAATAACAACCACAACACCCCCACTAGACGTGTGCCGCTTAAAAGTGATCCGGTGAACTCCCAAGGGCAGATTCAGTCGCACATGCACCATCAGCAAGCGCAGCACGCGCAACATATACATCAACAGCAACAACAACAGCAGATGCAACATCAACAGCAGCAAATGCTTCAACGGGGATTATCGCAGCAACAAGGGAGCCAGCAACACGTCGCTAAAAGCAAATCTGACACATTAACGGAGAAATCAGATCAAATATCATATAGGTAAAATTGGAATCATTTGGTACAAGTATGATAATTTATAGTAATTCATTTACCATACCCTGTTAATATTTTTAATAAACTCTTACAAGGTTCAATCAGTCACTTCAATCACTATTGCAACGAAACTCCAACGCGTTCAAAGACTCGTCAAATCATCCGTTAACGCGGCAGATAATTTCAAATATGTTAATGGAAGCTAGACCTGCTCGACGAACTTCACCTACAAGGCGCACATCAGCGGACACCAGTAGTAAAGGGACGAGCGGCGCAAATGGCGGCGGCGAAACAGGGGATGCACCATCACCACCACCATTCCATAGTTTACCGCCTGATACAGGGGGCGTCTGCCATCAGATGCTGGAACCTGTAATGAACAGTTCAAATTTTGCTCAATATCATCGGCATCATCACCACCACCAACCGCATCAGCTGCACCCACAATATCAGCAACACATCCATCAGCATCAATGCTCTCAAATGCATCAACATCAATCGCACCCTCAACCAAAACCACACCATTATATGCACTATTCACAACTCCTCCCACAGCACTATTCCCAACATTGTACACATCATCAACAGCACCCATCACAGCATGAGCAAATTTTGGTCAGTATATTTTTTTAATAGATTTATAGATATAATTTTAATTTGCATGATATTTATCATAATATCTGGTTTTAAATTCTTTCCACTTACTTTTATTAAAAAAAAATTTTTTTTACTTAATACCATCTAAATATTCTACGCTAACTGCTCTACACTTTACTCATAATATATTTTGCTATTTATGTTTTATTTATTTTTTGCAAAATAATAGCATTTTCACGAAAAGTTACAAAACAAGTCGATCTCACATTAAAATGTTCATAATGGCATTTGATTACACAAAAATTAAATAAACTAAATTTCAGATGGCTATGCAGCAGCAGCAACAAGCAAAGAACAGATCGCCGTTTTCAAAAGCTGGTGTGCATCCCGCGCCTGCCCGGTCTCAACAAAATGGGTAAAATAATATAATAATATGATGTTTATTTTGACGAGTGAAACTACTTCCCTTAATGTATTTTTCATTATAAAAAAAATATTTTGAAAAACCCAAATATTTAATTTTATATTATTTATAGTGATCTTTTATAAAAAATTAATTATATTATAATTATTTTATTCAAGATATGTTAATTGATGCATGCTATTGATTCAATGTTTTTATTATCAGCGAGCGTCTATAACTGATACTTATAATCGTTACAACATTTTTACTCTTAACATGTCTCTGACTAAAAATTTATTAATTTTGATCTATTTCTAGATTTGACCGATCACCGATATCAATGGTTCCTCGTGGCCAACATATAAAGCGAACACCTGGTGGTGGTCTGCTCCTTGATGCAACACAACTAGAGTTAATAAACAACTCTGTAAACGGCACAAACTCTAACAACACCATCACTCATAGCAATACGAATAATCCGCTACACCTGCAGCAGCACATACATCAGCATTCGATGCAGACACTGCATCCACCTCCTCAGCATGCCCATCAGACCTTGTCAATGCACCAGCAACGACACGCCTGGGCTACGCCTGCCAACAGCAAAGGCGGTCGGGGAAGGGTCGCCGCAGGATCAGATGTGCAGAGTATTTGGCGAAGTGGGACAAAGCAGAACGACGACTTCACGCTGCCCAATTTGCCAGGAGGTCAGTAGAATAAAGATAAATAATTATGCATATTCTATTAAAATTGATTAATGCATAATAATATCAGTGACATTGTTGAACATAGAACATTATATTCCTTTACAACCGACGTTTGCATTTTGGCCAGTGCCGAGTCGCCATCGACACTGTTCATTTTGACAGAGTTTGAGCGTAAGCCAGTTTATAAAACATATAATTTTTGCTGTGCTCAAAAAGAAAGAATATATTTAATAATTAATGATAGTAAAAAATTACCAAATAAATAGTCTCTTCGAAATAATCAGAATCAAGTCAGCTTTGTGCAAGCAACATGCTTTTGCTTGTTTCCTTACTTTATAACAATGATTTTGAATACAACTCGAATAACAGTTCTTTGCCATTTATATATGCTGATGGGCATATTGATTTGTAGAATAATATAACTGAATCATATTAACCCTATAACTTACTGTTACTGACAGCCACTGTTGCGTTCATATTATTCATTCTATCAATGTTTATTAAAATGACAAATATATATATATATATATATATACATATATATATATATATATATATATATATATATATATATTAGGTTGTCAAATATCTCCCTTCCGCTTTTTTGCTCTTGGTTTATAATACAAAAAGGCGGAAGAGAGATATTTGACAACCTTATATATATATATATATATATATAAAAATATAAATATATATATGTATATATATATATATTTGTATATAATGCGTACTTGCACTATTAGTGCAAACGTCATAACAAATCTAATTAGAGCGGTTACAAATTTAAAATTTTTAAAATCGGTTAATGATTAATGACTTAATGAATACTTAAATTTTAGGCAGTATAACCAATCTTAATATTAAAGTACTAAACCCGATTCCCAAATGATCGTTTTAAAGAAATTATAAAAACCACTAATTATTATGATTCATTCTTATGAAATTAACTAAAAAGGTCTTTCCAAAGATTTTTGGACCTTTGAAATCCATTGACAACATTCGAAAAAAAAATATCTTAATTGTCAGAAGCTGTTATATGCTACACATTCTGATATAAAGATATCCAACATTAGTGGAATGAGAGATTTATCGAATAGTTATGAACAAATGGTTTGTTCATTTTTTTTTATCAAACATAGAGAAATATGATTTGCCACTGACATTCTTCTAATAAACTATGATTGTGATTTTCTGAGAAAACATACAAAAAATTACATATTAAATTATTAATTTGAAAGAAATTGCTCAACCAATTTACACAAATGATTTTCAACAATAATTTGACCTTTGAAAATAATAAAATAAAATTAGTTATGGTGATAAAGCAAGAACGATAACGCAAGTTATATTATAAAGTCTAATAATCGGACTTAACATCAATGAAAAAACAAATTTCTTTTAAAAATTTATATATCAATCCTCACGTTTCGGCTATAGTCCTAGCCTTCATTCAGTGGAAACAATGTAAAACAATTGATATTGAAGAATTATAAAAAGTAAAATTTACATTTTGCCAATCTTATTATTAAAAACAAGAAATTTGATATCACATAATGTAGTGCATTAACATATCCTCATAATCCATGGTGATTATAAAATTTTCTGTTTTAGACTAACTAAGATTAGCATATCGTAAGTACATACATGTTACTATTTATAAACTTTTAATCTCAATTGTTTTAGTTTCTAAATTTTATTTATAGTTTCCATTGAATAAAATCTAGGGATGTAACCGAAACGTGTGAATAAATTTGTTTTTTAATTGATATTATGTCTGATTATTATACTCTGTTTAAGCATTAACACTAATCGTCTATAGGAACTTTGGTCTTTGCAGATCCGGTAAAATTAGTAATTTTAAAAATGCAAATTAATTTACACAAAACTGCACTAATAATAAAATAAATTATACATGAACCAATTCTAACCTAGAAATCGAATAATAGGTTCCAATATTAGATGATGAAACTAACTCAATCAGTAAATTATAATCAATATATTGTTTTAATTGGATATGGACTTAAATGTATACATGCGTATCAATATTTTTGAAAATATTTTTTTTTATGTTTGCAACTAATAAATGACTTGTATTCACTTACGTATTTTTGATAACAAAGTTTATTTAAACCTTTATAACGATTTCTGAAACAATACGTTACTGATCGTGCATGCAGATTTGTTAAATGAATGCAGAGTAAAATTGTTGAAATTTAAATATGCATTGCGTACTTATTTATAATGATGTAATTTCATTTTCTGGGGACCATGAATCTTAATGTAAGTTTGCACACTACTGTATGCATGAAGTGTAATATTATATATGCATACAGATTAGAACAAACAATATATTTAGTATATCTGTAATATGTGTGTATACGATTATGATTGTTTACCAATAATTTATTGCATGCGGCATGAATTACTTCAAAATTATATACTTTTCGTTAAAAAATCTTATAATTTTAAGTAGGGAAACACACTTTTAAAGTCCACTCTGTGTTGAAAATGCAAATAGCATGATATTCAACAATAGCATATAATACCAATATACTGATCAGATAAAGATGATTTTATGCGGTGCGAATTTGGTGACCCTGAATTCAAACTAAATTCGTTAGGTTATGGATTGCTTTAACAATTGTATTTGATGAGAGGAGTGTTTACGAAGAACTGCTAAACAAAGACGCACTGTGCACTTTAAATGTGTGTTTTCAAAATTTTCAAGAACATAACACGAGGCGCAAACACATTCGTAATATATATTCATACTGGAAATTCATACTCAAAATTTCGATGGAATGATTACATATGATAAATGAGTTACATCGCGTTGATGGGATCATAAGCACATATCAAACTGTGAAGAGTTCATACATGTAAAACAGTGTTAAACAGGAACAAATATGAAAAAAGGATTTTTAGATCCTTCGTATTGCGATCGACGGGCCTATCTTATCCTTTTTTCTTAGTACTACAAACTGTGAAAAAAACTATTGGCTGGGCGATCAGGCGTATTTTACGTATAAACAAACTTACATTACACCCAGTAAACACCGGGCGGCGGTAGCAATCTGAAGTCCACATTAATTATACATGGGTGCCACAGCGCCGAAGGAATGCTTGTGGATTTCAGGTTGCTGCCGACGCTCACGTCACATGGGTTTTTACTGGACATGTATCTTTGTGATGTGCATTTATATCATACGGTTTTATGTGTAAAACGCCTGATCAATACCAGCATCAGCAAATAGATAGCATTTACACAGTTTTCAGTACAATAAAGAAGTATAAGAGCGTTGCCATAATAACGCAGAATTAGCCCCTCAATCGGAATGAAAGTGATTTAACAATCCGTTTTCATATTTGTTTCTATTTAACACTGTTTTACAGGTATGAACTGTTGACAGTCTGATACGTGCTATGATCCAATCAACACGATATAACTCATTTACCAACGGACCTGCTTAATGATTTTGCGTCAAATTAACACGTTTCCAACCGTTGAGTAGCACCATGTTCTCTCTGTTTAGCAGTGTCCGCGGACCAACCAGAGGTTCCGCACGAATCCAAATCCGTGCTAAACCGACTTCGCAACGCATTGAAATGGATCCAAGATTCCGCATGCTAAGAATTGTGATAAATAATTAATGTACCCGATTGACATGCGATTGTAATTTTCAATAAATTTTGATTAATATACTTCGCGTGTCACTTGCTCATCATGAACAGTTGTTACGACAATCTTAAGAGAATTAGTAACTTGTTATTTATATGCGTATGTTAGAGATATTATTGTAGTTTTATTATTAACGAATATTTATTGTATAGTTTCTCAACTGAAATTATAACCTATTTGAAAAGTAACTCAATTAAAATAGTTAGACGTAAATTAATTATGTTTCGGTTTCTCATATTAAAACTATGCCCCATAAAATGCTTATGTTCGAGCCAAAAATTAAAAAAAAAACACCTTTATGTATGTTACGCACTGTTTATATTTCGAGGAATCCTGATCTGTTAATAACACTATAGCCATTCAAATTTTCATTAAATTTTTAAATTACTAAATATGATTAAAAGATAAAGTAAAGATTCCTGTAAGTTGATATTTTTTAAATTTATGGCTCCATTGAAAACTTTTTTTGCCTACTCGAAATATGCTTTTGAGCTGTAGCTTTTTTTTTTGAAAAGTTGCATGACTCCGGTGAATTTTTCGGCTCTATACAACTTTTTTCCACCCTAATATACAGGGTGTCCCAAAACTCAAAGTCAACCCTAAACGGAGTGATAGTTTTGATCTTAACCGTAGTTTAAAAAAAAATCTGTTGTTTGTTTAAAAAAAATATCTATTGTTGTTTGGAAATTGGAACTTTTAAGTGCAACTTAGAGCTTTGATGAAATTGTGGCCGTTTTTTGGTTATTGTGGTTAATTTTTACTACTTTTGTTTATTTAAACTTTGAAACCGTGCCCGAAAATAACATTTTTAGAATGACAGTCAAAAATATTTAGAAAGCTACCCCAAGTTTTTACTGTATGTATGGGTACAATTTTTCGTCCACGTTTTCGGGCGCACGGATCAATCGATTTGTATGGTTCAAAATAATTCCTTTTGAAAAAAAAATTTTCATTTTCTTTTTCAAATTTTTTTTTCAAAAAATATTTTTTTTTGTATATAGAAAATAATTCTGATTTTAATTGTAATTTTGACTTAAGTTCTAATATACTTTAAACAAATATTTTCAACTTTGCAATTCAGTTTATATAATTCTTATAAATATTAGACAATGTTACTGTATTTATTTATAATAATCTATTTAAAAACATCAAATATTCTCCGAACATTTTGTTACGGTACGGAAAGTTCCAGCAATTTGCCTTAAGACACGATGCCATACACACCACTAGTTTTTTTACTGTGATCCTAAACATGTTCATTTACGATTACGGATCGAAAGTTTAAAATGAACATTACTAATAAAAATTAAGCACTTTTCAATTGTTAAA